TAAGATCCATAAACTCTCAAAGCTTACACATGGAGTATACTCAGTCCATGATTTTTCCCTGACTTTATGTGAATCCTAACCAGGGTGAAAATGTTCGTTTTTACAGACTGGTTTGAAATGTTTTGAAATGATATGCAGTTTTGTAAAAATCATCATAAATTGTAGAAAAATCACATGAACGTGTGCGAGTACTCCCTGAAAAGGTATTAATCTGAACTACTTGCATATTTTACAGTTTTGTAAACCATATGCTTTAAGAAGGGCAAAACAGTTCTTGAACATACCCCAATTTTTCTGTAAAAAACTGAAAATTAATCTTAGAAATGTTTAGAGAAATAACTTGTATTTTCAGTTAACCAAGCCTTTATTCCATCCAACTAGAAATCATTTAGCATGTATTCTCCCCCAAAACTTGTAGAACATAAAATAGGGGCCGTAGAAACTCATTTTTGTTGTGTAAAGTTATTCGGTTTGAGAACGACTCGTGCGGTTTCCGGTTCCACTAAAGCTCGTGATTTGAGTATTCTTTTGGATGTCTTAACACATAAAGACATATATTTACAATCAAGTTATACTTTTAGCATGTCTTAACTCACTTAAAACAAGTGAACTTTATGATAAAAGGGAAGAGTAAAAATCAAGAAATTACCTACTTTTTACTTGGATCTAAAGTATGTTGCGAAAAGGTGGTTGAAACACAAGCTTTTTGAGAAATGTAAGGTAACTTTATTTGGGGTTTGAAGTGCTTGAAATTAGCAACATATGGGCTACTATGAATCTCAAAAATGGGCACAAAAATGAAATACTTTTGGGTGTTGGTTTGATGCTTGAAAACAGCCACTGTTTTGGCTTAGTTGTTGTCACGAAAATTCCCAACAAAAAGGGTAAGAAAAGAGTGGTTTAGCCACTGTTTTGAGTCCTCATTTTAGTGTAATATAAAAAAATAACTTCCAGGAGTATTTGGAGGTGAAAATATCAAACAAAAGGAAGGTGAAAAGAGGTGAAATGGTGGCTGAAAAACCAAGGGATAGTAGCCTCTTTTTGCCCACGGTTTTGATGGATTTGGAAGGAAGTTCATGTGGATGAAATATGATGAAGTTTGATAGCTTTTATATGGAGAGTTTGCTGGAAAATGGAAGAAGAAAAGAGAGAGAGGGGAGTTCGAGATTTATAGGAGAAGAGGGAAGAAGATAAGAAGCAATCATCTAAGCCAGATTTGATGGGATGGGAAGATGATTAGATTTGATTCACCCTTGCCACTTGCTCTCTTGGTTACTTAGGGATAGAACTTAGATAACTAACTAGTTAGTAGTTAGTTAGTTAGAGTTAGACACAATATTCCTTACATGAAATCACTTTAAGTCATGAACCCATAACTAGTCATTTCCTAGATAATAATACATATGTATATATACATACATGTATTGTGGGTACAAAATAACAATGTAGTTTTTATGTATTTGAACTTACATATTTGTGTTTGATTCTTTTATTTGTAAGCATTTAGATACATTTTTTTTAGTCCTTATAATAATCCATTTTATATTTTTATCAATTAAATATAAAACTGATTGACCAAGGTATAATTTTCGTGACATTTAACCGGTTAAAAATATCGTTAACCACGTTTCGTCATTTCGGTTCGTATAATTGTCAAATTTCGATCCTTCACAACTATTTGGTACAAGTCTTATATAGAATTTAAATTACTCATCAACTGAGGACATGTTGATACGGTAATTAAATTTCACGTTTAAATGACGTTATATGCTAACTTTCACAAATCGGTGTTGGTTCGTAGTTATACGTCATAACGGAATTTATCATTAGTCACATGTTTTATTTTTCACAAGAACTTTTCTAAATAAAAGATGTTAAATTCCTTCAACCATTTTTTGATAAAATATTCATATTGCTTAAAATTAAAACATGGTATCATACACTCGTTCCTATTTTTGCCAATTGTTGCATCGTGCATTCTCGGAGCATATGCTCAAGCATTTGCATAGTTCTTTCGCTTTGACCATTTGTATGTGGATGGTAGGTTGTGCTCATATCGATATGTGTCCCCAATGCTCGGTACATTGGTTGCCAGAACCGGGATGTAAATATGTTATCTTTGTAACAGATAATAGATGTTGGTATGATGTACAGTCGGACGATCTCCTTGACGTAATTCGTGGCTAGCTTTTCCATCTTATCCGTCTCTTTGATGGGTAGGAAATGGACAGACTTAGTCATACCATCGATTACTACCCAAATCATGTTGTAACCACAAGGCATCTTGGGTAGTTTCGTGATGAAGTCCATTACAAATTTCTCCTATTTCCACTCAAGTATTTTTGGGTTGCTGCAGTAGACCTGAGGGTTTCCGGTACCCTACTTTGACGTTGGCGCAGGTCAAGCATTTGCTTACGTAGTTGGTGATTTATGCATTCAAGTTCGGCCACCAATACCTCTTCTTTAAGTCAAGGTACATCTTATCAGCCCCTAGGTGAACTGAGTATGTTGTTCTCTGAGCTTCGTCTAAAACCAAACTCCTGATATCGCCAATTTTTTAAGGCGAAAATTACGGCTCCTGATTCTAAATCATGGGTGGTGTAATTATTTATGTGCACCTTAAGTTGAAGTGAAGCATATACAGTCACCTTGTTTCTCTTCATAAGTACACATCCCATTCCCTGGTGTGATGCGTCGGAATAGACGACAAAGTCTTCGGTTCCTTCCTGGAGTGAAAGAATTTGTGCATTTTACAACATTTGTTTCAATTTTTGAAATGCAGACTCTTGCTTTTCTTCCCATTTGAACTTCATGTCCTTTTTTATTAGTGATGTGAGGGATTTGGCTACATTGGAGAAATTTTCTATAAATCTTTGATAGTAGCCTGCCAATCATAGGAATTAGTGCACCTCAGTCGGCGTTGTGGGTGCTTCCCAATTCTTTATTGCATTGATTTTCGAAGGGTCTTTGTGAATTCCCTTGTTGCTGACTACGTGGACGAGAAAATGTACTTCTCTGATCTAAAACTCACACTTTGAGAATTTGGCGTACAATTTCTCTTTTCTTAGCAACTCAAGAATGATTTATAGGTGTTGGATGTGTTCTTTTTCTGTTCGTAAGTATATCAATATGGCATTGATAAATACTATCACGAACTTGTCCAGGTAGGGTTTACAAACATGGTTCATCAGGTCCATGAAGACCGTAGTGGCCGAAGCGAATTTTGAACGATATTTTTGGAATGTTGTCTTCTTGTACCCGACATTGATGGTACCCTGACCTCAAATCAATCTTTGAATAAAAGTTAGATCCTTGTAGTTGGTCGAATAGATCGTCGATCCTTGGGAGTGGTTATCTATTATTGATTGTTTTTTTGTTCAATTCCTGATAATCGATACACATTCTGAATGTTCTGTCTTTCTTCTTTACGAATAGCATCAGGGCTCCCCAAGGTGAGAAACTTGGTCTTATGAAGCCCTTATCGAGAAGCTCTTGAAGTTGTCCAGATAGCTCTTCCATTTCCGAAGGGGAAATATTCTTTGATAAGCATTTGTTTAAGTTGTTCTCAAGACAGGGCATTTGCATTTGTGAGGCCCATTGTCTTGGCATGGCTGTTCCACCAGGACATGGTTGTATATGCGAAGGTGCAAGCAGCAAACTTCACTTTTCATTCCTCAAGACAGGAACTGATCTCAAAAACATATTCGGTCTTTTCAACTCCCTCATTCCCGAAGAACGTATTAGGTTTGTAGTTCATAATTTCCTTATAGGTACAAGATCTTGAAGCACCTTGATTGTTTCCGTGGGAGCTTTCGCCTCCTACTCCAAACCCAGAGCTTATGTGGCAGTTGTTTCCAAACATCGCCATAGTGTTAGCGAACCGTTGTTCTACCAGGACTTCTATGGACGCTTCGTCTATAGGCGCGTTGCTCTGATTGGATTGGGCATCCTGATATGGTTGGGGACCTTGGTTGGATCTGGTGATTCTTGGGGGTGCTATTTTTTGATTTCTAAAGTTATTGTCGTGACGTGAGTTGGTTGATTGTATTCGTATAGGCAGCATCCTTGTAGGAATGGTTATGACGTGGTCTGTTATTATTAGTGTTTAGTTAAGCAGTAGAGTGATAACACATCAAACAGATTTCATATAACCATATTATATTATAAGCATCATAATATTTTACAGAGTGACCACCAAAAGGGGTGGTTAGTGTACGAAAAGCCCTATAGTTTACAAAATAAGCAAGTATGTCATACTTGCGAGCTTTTCTGAGTACAACAATCCAAAAAGTATAGATACATCCATCCCAACCATCATGCTAGGGAAAATTCTAACATCCATAATATACAATCAAAAGTGTCATAAGCCGAACTTGCTGCCGATAAACAAAATCTATCCAAATATTAGAAAATTAGATCCTCGACTCTGCCCTCTCCACCTACTGCTCCAACCTCTCGGTATGACTGACAACCTCCTCCAATACTTGCCGATGGAGCTAAGACTCGTCGCGAGCATCCTGCAACTAGTCATGTACTAATAGGATATGCATCTTCGTCATGTCCTTCTCGTCCTCTAGGTACTCCACCAGTTTTGCCAGCTGCGTCAGGGTCATCCTTAACATAAAGAGCTCAGAGTCTACGGCTCCTAAGAAATCAGAGTGCGGGGCAGTCTGTGGCACCAAAAAGGAGATAGTCTGCTCAATCGGGTGTCTGGGATTGGGGATGGTGGGGTAGAGGACTCCCTACCTCGAAGTGAGAACCGATATCCTCTTCCTGTAGCCATGCTCAGATCTGAGGCATCCATGCATAGTTTCTATAATGTTTCTTTGTTGGTGGTGGAGATATTGGTGGGGATGATGGCCACTTCCTAAAGGGGATCGTTATAGTCTTCATCGGTTATTTTTAACCCGAGTACCAGTAGCGCGTGATCAATAGGATCTATGTGACGGAGTGTGAAGGGGTGGTGAGATCTCTAGGGAGGTGGTGATATCCTCTTTGTCCTAATCCGGCTCATAGTTTGAGTTGATGTGCTCAGGCTCAGTTGGTGTGTAGTCATGTTCAGAAGGGTCCGGACTAATGTGCTCGGTTGGAGTGTAATCAGGATCGGAAGGTTCCGAACCAATGGTTCCATCAGCCTCGATCTCATCATTGTCCTCCATCAGATCCTCCTCAGAAACCGTAAGCATCGTTGGAGTTTCTGCAGTGTCAATAGCACCAGGTACTGACTGCTCCTCCGCTGGAAGGGAAGATGTCCTCCATGATCCTGCGCCTTCCATACCTCTCCAGCAAACCTGCACAAGACATCAAACATGAAAGATGTTTTATGAGAGATGTGAAGATCAATTATATACCATATAATATACAATTATAAGTATGTAATATATAGTACTCGTAACTCCTGAGTCTCCCTACTATGTCGTAAATCCTGAATAGCGGTTCCTAAGCCAAGAATCCTCAAGTGTAGATGTCTCCAAGAAAAAAAATCCTTAAACATACAAAGCCTCTAAAAAGAAATATTTAAGTATAGAATCCTTGAAACTAAGCATCCAATCCAGAAGTCCTCAAGCATTTATATATCCAACTACTGTATTCAAGTTCGGTCGTGCTTCAATCAGACCATAATAAAACTTAGTTGTGTATTCTAGGTCTAGTTTTGTTACGCACGTTGTACTATACCAACTCTAGATACTGTTTTTACCTAAAATCTTGAGTTTGATATCATGGATTCGTGTTGTGGGTCGTAGATATATTTATATGAGCTTACTTATATAGCTCCATATCTTTAAATCTTTTTTAGTTGAGTGTATTTTATTAATATTTGGGTTTTGTACTTTAAGACTATCAAGTAAGGATCAGCCAGGTGAGAAGTACCGGAGGGCAGGACCATTTTGGCATATACTCGTTCTGAAATCCAGCAACCCAAGCGATTGTTCAAACTAGTCACCTCTCCCGTAAGTAGTCTCGAAGTACTGTAATTCATAAAACTACTTTTTAATTTCTTAGGCTTAAAGATTAAACATAATTAGAGTGTAGCCCTAATTTATAGTTGTAATTCCTAAGGAATTACTAGTTCACTATAATCTAAAGATCTGATACCAATCTGTCACACCCCCAGCCTGCAACGGAAACGTAGGGTTGTGAGACGTTATGATGTTGGATTTCAGGCAATAGACATACATTGAATAATATACCAGAATATCATGAAACGTTACTTTTTATTCATTAAATAAAATATATTCCATAACTGTTCGAGATACATGTAGGTCACAAAAGCATAGTACAATAATAAGGCGCATAAACTTCTAGATGCAACACCAAGTTTACTTCCCTCGTCTTTCAGGCTCATTCGCTTGAGAATACATGTTGCTTGAAAGTCAAAATAATGTTGGTGATTTCACAGGTTTTATTTTTATTAAACGTGTTGTAGTTGTTTAGTTATCTTAGTTATATTGAGTTCGCTTCCTCGAGTTTGAGTGTACTATCACTACTTTCTTAGGTGATTTCCTACTACTAGTCTAAGATAGGTAGTTTTAGTTTAACAATGTTAGGATGAGTTCCTATAATCGAGTTATGATTGTTGAGAGTTCCCTGAAAACGACGACGCTTCATCGGACGTAGCAAATGTGTTTAGAAAGTTATGCCTGTTTCGACTTGCCGTTAGGTTGTAGCTATCAACCACATCTCGGAGTGTCAATCCCATATAGATATATACATATCTTTCCCTTTCACTATTGATTTAACGATTATAAGGTGGGGGCTAGTTGAAAGTCCTTCAGCTAGGAGATGAATTTGTCTCATCTAACAACTTGTTTGCGTGAAGCCTCCACTGGCCGGTCGTTGTCGCTCTTCTCGTTGTATTTTATTATATAGACTTATTATATATATATACTAGATGTGTACCCCGCGCAAAGCGGCGGCGATAAATAACCTTTTTGGCGAATAGTTTCTTACAGAGAAATAATTATTAGATTTTATTATTACTTTTTATGTAATAAAAAAAATTACCACTTTTATGTAAAATATTTATGTTTCGACCTTATATTTGTATTGCCTTTTTTTATATTTGATGTAAATTTATTAATATCGATGTCTAGTTTAAGAAATGTAAATTAATTTGTATATATATGAATTTAATATTTTAAAATTGTCATTTTGCTCCAAATTAAATTTTTTAATAACCTTCCTTAATTCTAGTCTTCAAAGTTTTTGCAAGTATTAATGATGTATTTATGCATAATTGATTTGTACAAATAGTTTTAAAACTTGTATCTCTTAAATTTCAAGATATGAATAATATGTTTTATAATATAGTATAAGATATATATATATATATATATATATATATATATATATATATATATATATATAAAACTAAGTTAGAGTGTTTTGCGTAGCCGGGTATTTAGGCAGAGTAACCACTAGGTAATAAGCTTATACAAAGGTTTGTTATAATAACAACTAGAGCATCGGAGTTCCATAGGAACTAACCATCGTAATAACTAGGTATGATGCTTTCTATCAATGTGATTCAGCATAACAACTAGGCATAATATTATCTTTAAAATATTTTAGCAGAGTACCTACCGAGCATAATATCATCCTAATGTTATATGCATAATTATCTAACTAATATTATACGATCAATAATACTTATGAAAATATTTGTATTACGACATGTATCCCCCCCCCCCCCCGAAAAGATTTAAAAACAGAAAAATGGGGTCGTGAACTCATCGTTGAAGTGTGAAACCATTGGTGTAGGGTAGAAATCTGGAGTCTGAAACATCGAGAAACGCTCGGGAGTAGTGGCACGCAAATTGAGAGTGTGTGAGTGAGTGTTTGAGGTGTGAGGAATGAGACTTTTAGATCTTGCTATTTATATTAAGTTTTGGGGTGCACAATGTGTACTGCACGTCGCGCAAGTGCACGTGAGCCATAGGGGGAGCTGCCACGTGTCGCCGTCTCCTTGTGCCATGTCATCCGTATCCTCACAAATCCAGTCTTCAAGTGTGCACCTCAGTAAAAATAGAACTTTGAAATTCTATAACTCTCGCATACGGACTCCATTTTCAACGACTCTTATATATGTGTAGGTCTCGACGTACTCTACAACTTTCCTTTTCGTCGTTTTGGCAAATTTTAACTTTTGTTTTTCGACTATATTTTATAACCATTATGATTTTATAAAAATCATAACTCTCTCATACGGTTTCCGTTTTAGGCGTTCTTTGTCTCATAAACCTACAACAATTGTCCTTTAGGTGAGTTTTGCCAAAACTCAACCGTTCTCCTCATAGTTTTTGACGTTGTATTTTCTTACGCATGGTAGATTTTTATTTACAATAAAAATCAACTCTTTCATAATAAGTCGGAGTTTTACATAGTTTATATTTTGGGGATCGTGGTAACACGTATATTCCAAAAATATTAACCTGCTCTTATAATGACACGACTTTTTGTACACACATTTTTTAGTCTAATAGTTGATGTAATTAAGGAAGAAAAATCGAATATATGTATTTATATATTGGATGGCTACAGAGTTCTCCTATTACACTTCGTTTTTGTCGTTAAGCTCTAACGGCAGTTGATAACCTATTTTCCGGGTTGTCATAGGTGGCTCATTGAAAGATGGTGGATTGGACAAAGTTAAATTAGTTCGGAAGGTGTTTCCTACTCAAATCCCAACTTCACTAGCAATGAAAGCCATTATGAAATCTGTGAAAACAATAATTGTTACTCCAAATGTCGAAGTTGATATGTCTAAGTTTCAACCTAAGAATGGACTGAACATTAATAAAGGAGGCTCAGGCTCTTCAACAGTTAAACTTGTTACTTTTGATCCAAAGGATAAAGGAAAAAGTGTTCATGGGAACCTATAACTGAGGAAAAGAAGAAGCTTTAGGAGCTTGAGTTTGAAAGATTGAAGCAATTGAACAACATCATGAGGATGAGAGCGAATGACCTACCAGGTCTAAATAAGGGTGATCCTAACAATGTTTGGTGTTATGAATGATTGAAAGTGTAACTTATGGAGAAGTAAATGATTTTGATAAAAGACCAAGAAAAAGATATGCCATTAAAGATATAGATTTCAATCAACTGGATTTTCCAGTCAATCATTTGATGTTCGTTTTTACTCAGTTCTAGCTTGCTGAGAATTATAATGATCCGGAAGAGTTTATGAACTTGAAGATTTGTTTCCATGCGGTTCTAGGAAAGAATGAACAAGATATGTGGTCTTTGGTGAAGATTGTCAAAATTATATCGATAAATCATGATACCTTGTTTGAAGGAGTTTTGCAAAACTTTCGATATAGTGTTGTCTGGGAAAACAACGTTTTATTTGACTTCACCATTGCCGACTTTCCCTTGATGAATCCGAATGATCTCACTACGATTACGAAGATCTTGGGAGATTTGAGTAAATCCCAAATTCAAGACAAAGCTTCGTACATCATTGGGTATGGTTATATTAAAAGCTTTTTGGATTGTTATTATGCTTATATAGCATTAATAGTTATTGATCTCTCCACGTATTTCAACAAGAAGTTAAAAAGCTCCTAACGCTTTGTTGAAAGGAAAAATCAAAATTGATGATTCTGAAGATGGAGAAATCATCAATCAACCGCTGGGGATGTTTTCCAAGGAAAGAATAAGAAGGGAGGGAAAAAGAAATATTTATTTTATATTGACGGTGTTGAAAGATATTCGAATCAGCATCTTTCAAGTATCCTTCTCCGTATCAACAATTGCATGAAGAATTCGAATGAAGATAGAGTGGAGATAAGGAAGATCGCCATGTGGTACATGGAAATTAAAAGGGGTTTTCTATAGGTGATAAAGTCACTACCCTCAGTCTGAAGATTAGGTATTTGATCACAATGGGGGAGAATGTAGAGTCTAGTTGTTGTGATATATCGAAGCTTGGGTAGTGGTCTTGGTAGCGAACTGATTGTAAATATCGAAGGTCTTCATGACTTCGATATGTAAGTATTTTACTAGGCACTTTTGTAGATTTGTTGTTAGTGTCGAAGTCCTAGTATACACGTTACATCCTATCTCCATGGAGAGAGAGAGAGAAGAGAGAGAGAGAGAGAGAGGAGAAGAGGTTGGAGGATTTTTATGAAGGGAAACAACACTCTAGGGTTTACCCCAAGCAATCTTTTTATAGGTGGTAGATAGAATCCTAGAATGATTCAAACTTTACGGTTAATCTTTATTTGATTCAAACCTGCTATATCCCTATCCAGGGAGCCTTTAAAATCATCCCCTA